CTTAGTATGCGGGGCTATATCCATAAACCAGCCATATATTATTAAATTAACGTAGGGCAGGATTAGTCTACGTTTAACCCAGCAGTTCTAGGAGAAAAGAAAGCATCATGTCCACAGAGCACAACGGGGATATAAAAATACTCACCCGCAATAAAAAATGTTATAAAATTGTCCAACATAAACTCCTCATCTTCTTCAGTCATGACTTCCTCTGGAACAAGGAGAAATTTGATGAGTCAATGAACTGAACCTGATCATAGGGGTCAATTCATCTCCCGTTTAGTTGAGAAAATGTTTGACTTCATCCATCTTTTGATCACAACCTGTGGCTGCAGTCTTGATGATCTGTGTGAGAATGTCCTTTGGAACGTCCTCTCCATTTTGTATAGCCATCTTTCTCTTGTGGATCACTTCAGCTCCAGTTTTCCGCAAAAAACGACAAGCTTCCCTCACTTCATTAACAAATTGTTTGTTCCTAGGATAGTACTGGAACAGCAAAGTGAATTTTTCACTACTTTAATAGTTAAAAAATATGTTTTCATTTGTGCTCAATAAAAATAAAACTGTACAATTACCTCATATGTGAAGTCTCTTACATAGTGCATCATCCCTTTTAGAACTGTCTCAATGGCTTTGGGGAAAGGTGATGTATAGTTCAGGAGGTCTAACTCCATGCCAAAAGCAACCTAAGTTTGACAACAATACATATAATTTAAATGAAGCTAGATGAACAGTGTTTAAGACAGGAGTTTACCCATTTTTTGCAAAACAAGACAAAACTAAGCAATAACCTTAGCAATGACATCAAGCGTGACGCAGTTGATAAGTTGAAGCATCTTGGCCTCTGTGTTATTATCAGCTAACTCTGAGAGCTTATCCATGAGTTTCTCTGCTCTCTCGTTGAAGGTCCCCATCAGACCTCTCAAGTACCTGAAAGCAAAGATATTTAAAAACAAAGAGACAATAACCCAAGAAGAAGCCTTAGAAGAGTGTTTAATTCTATCAGATTTATTTTTATATCTTTTCCCTAAACAACAAATTTCAGGGAATTTTATTAGCATTAAATGTGATATAACAACAAAAAGTAGGGTTTAGTTATAGGACATGGGTCTTCAGAAATGACTTGGCAAAGGGAGTTTTGATCAGAGAAACAGGTCCATATTGTTTCTGGATGTGATCCACAGCTCTAGGTGTCAAAGTTGGTGACAGAACAAATATCAGTCTTAACCTCTGAAAATGTGGCCTTTGAGGAGCAACGTTTTATAGAAAGCCAACGTTGAATCAGAATCAGAATCAGAATCAAGTTTATTGCCAAGTAGGTTTGCACTTACAAGGAATTTGACTTGGTGTTGTTGGTGCAGACAAAAAACAAAACAAAATAACAAAATAAGATAGAATAT